ATGTTGTCACATGGTTTTAGTAATAGGAAAAATATTAAAGAAGGATCCTGAAGAAGCATTGGGCAAGGGGAGGAGAATCCAGAAAACCAATCTTATTGTTATCGAGAAGTCTCAATTATCGTTGTATTACCAGGTTTAGTGATCACTTTATGACCAGAACTGAGTCATACAGAGGACTACATTCTACTTTGTGATCAAAAAAAGGAGGAAATGACACCTCAAATAAAAGACAACTAACTCTGTCATGTCCATCTTTGCAAAAGTCAAAAACTATCAGCAAGGAAAAACAAATTTATAAGATATCTTTGAAAATTTTTTAGATACTAGACTGGAATGTAAACACAAATTAATCATGAAGGCCACTGAATCCTTAATTTTATTTTCAATCATTAGAGGTTTAAAGTTTAAAATCCACCAAAACAGAGATGCTGTCTAACATACTGCGATTCACTAACTTGATAGTTGGAAACCACAGCATCCCCTTATAAAAACTGGGGAAAAGCATAAAGTTGCTAAACAATTTGACAATTCATTGATAACCATAGAAAATTAAAGTGCTGGGTCAAATTTAATTCATCACATTATCCAACACTAAATTAGCAAAAGCAATCTTGAGATGGAAAGAGCTAGATATAAGTGATGTATTTAGGGTATTTTGACAGTTAAACCATGTTGAAACATACCACTAACATATTGCTTGGCCTAATTTTAAATTTCAACAAGTTACAATATAGACATCATTATAAACCTTCTTAGCATTACATTCCACACCTTCAAACACAGATTTGAAACTAAACACCAAAGCAGAAGTGAAAACTTACAATCTACTGGGTTTTCACGCGAGTTTGTACTGGCATTTACTTCCCATTCTATATTCATTGATGCAGTCTGTTCATTGCTCATTGATGAGGAATTCTCTGATGCCTTTATATACTCATCAACGCATAGTTCATGGTTATTCACCTCGTAACAATGACCATGATTATAATCTGAAATATTGCCAGAATCAGATAATCCAAACTTGTAAAAGCTTGTAGTCATCGATGGGTTCACACTCTCCTGCAGACAGGAAATCCATTTTGCTGTGAACAATGGCAGCAATTCATTTAGAATAAAACATCTAGAATACATACGAAGGATACGATATATTATACATTCCAAACTTCAAACAAACTGAAAGACACACATTCTTGCAAGCTACGAAGCAGATACCTCAAGGAACCAATGGATCAATTACAATCAACTCATACATAAAATCGGCATATCTTTCATCTGATTATTCATGCATAGACGTTAAAGGACATGATTTCAGGACATTTAAAAACAATAATTTTGATAATAAATGGTACCTGAAGACAGGAAGAACCATCGAAATGAAATTGACATCTTGATAAGTACGACCTTCAAAATATTCCATAAAGCTGCCAGCACTATTATAAGGGTAGCTACTGTTGATGTATTGAACTTCCATTTGTGGATCCCAACTCATTTTCAAAAATCCAACTAATCTACGAACATAAAAAACACCAAAAGCCACAAAAATTTACATTTCAAAATTACGATGACTAATAGAAACAGACCAAAAATATAAATTAATTCTAATGCAAACCTGATATCTTCAAAATTTTCAAAAACTGCTAGCGAATTTTGGTATTCTAGCATTCAAGGAAGATTCCTGCAACAATGTAATAAAGAAAAATTAAAAAGCAAACTAAACAAAAATTTAATTATCTTTAGAAGAACAAGTGAATTGAAACGATGAGATTCATATTACTGCAAGAAAACGTGATACGTGTTAGCATATTTTCAAGTAAATGACAACGCGTAAAACAAATTGATTGATTTTCCATTTGGTTACCGAGAAAATGCAGGAAAATGAGGAAGAATGAGAAGAAAATTACTGTCAAGCTTACTCCAAGCTAATCAATGACTGATCCATTGATAAGCAAGCTTACTTCCCCGTTCCTTTTATCCTGAATTTTCTCAGCAACCGAACAGGAAAATGAGAAAGAGAAAATTTAAAACTACGAGTTTTGTATCTCCATCTGAGAAAATGCGAGATATAATCGGAAAAACTGAAAATGAGAGAATGAGAGATGGATTGAAGGATCTAAAGAAATATATAATGCGAGAAAATATTAAAATAATAATAAACTTAAAAAAATTTCTTTAAAGGGGTTTAGTTGGCAGATTTATAGAGGAAAAGTGATTTAAGAAAAAAGTGGTTTTAAAATAAAATGTGTGATTTTTAATTTTGTTTTTGGTTAAAATTTTTATATTTGATTTAGAAGAATATAAGGTTATTTAAAAAAGTTTTTTAATAAATTATCTTTAACGATAAGTAAATAATAAGATATGTTTATATGGTTTTGTTAAAATTAAAGAATTTAAAGAAATATTTTTTTATATTTTTAATTAAAATAATTTTTTAATTCTAATTATTATCCTTGTGTTGATTGTTTTTTCACGTGGAGTTGGAAGGGGGGTAAACTCCTCTCCAAGGTTTCTGGGGATAGAGCCTGTAATAATTATATATATAATAATATTAAATAGATGTATTTTAAATTTTATATATAATAAAATTAAGTAAAAATATTTTATATTTTATTTTAATTTTGTTATGTGTAACAACATCTATTATATTTTACTCTTAAAATTGTGATATTTGTTAAAATTAAACAAAATAAAATTTTAATATCCATTACATTTTTTATCTTAAAAATGTGATTTTTATTAAAATTTAAGAATTTTGAAAATAAAATTTTAACATTTATTATGATTTTATATTAAAAACACAATCTTTATTAAAATTTTAAAATTTTGAAAATAAAATTTCAATATTTATTATATTTTTTATCTTAAAAACATTATTTTTGTTAAAATTTCAAATCTTTATTAAAACTCTAAAATTTCAAAAATAAAATTTCATCCAATGCATTTATTATCTTAAAAATATAATTTTTGTTAAAATTTCAAATTTTCAAAAATAAAATTTTAACTTCTACTATGTTTTGATCTTAAAAAATGATTTTTGTTAAAATTTTAAATTTAAAAATATAGTTTATCATTCAAATCTCTATACAATTAATATTTAAAATAAATTTTATTTCAAATAATTTAATATTATTATATTTTTCATTTCAAATAATTTAATATATATAATATACATATGTTAACAATTATTGTATTTTTATTAAATAAATTTAATCAATTTTACGAACTAAATACATATTTAATTTTGATGAATAAAAATTGAATTAATTTTATATTTTTTAAAGAATAAAATTCAACATTACCATGTATCAAATAATGAGACTCGGAGTGTTCTGTGCGTGTTAGGTTGGTTATCAGTTTATCATGTAATTTTTTTTATATTGAAAGATAAAATACATCATTAAAATTATTTTATCCAAGATAAATGTAAGATAAATTTTTCATTACATCATAATTGTAAAAAAATTGCAAGGAGATGAGAGTTATGATTTAGGATTATTTTCTTGTTTTTGATATTTAAATTTGAACTTCAAATATTATGTCCAAAACTTGACTTAAGTAAAATTATAAAAATATTTAAAATTAAAATATTAAAATATTAAACTTGTCATCAAAATCAAAGTGTAAACCCAAAGAACCCCAACAGTAAAACCAAACGCATGAAAGCATGTCAGAGCAGAAATTGTTGTTGTTTTTCTCTTCAAATCATAAAAAGCCCAGTTAGTAACAATTCTGCGTCTGCGCAGTAGCCGTAACTTGATATTCTCCTGAAAAACCATGAAGATGCCAATTAGTGTCAATTCTGGCTCCGCTGGTAGCAGTAAATAGAGATCGTCTCAAATACCATGAGATGCAAGCCATTATCTTCTTCTCTATTTTTTTTTTTTTTTTTTTACAGCAGAAATAAAAGCATTCCTCAACTCCGGCTTCTTTACAGAGGCCTAGTCATATAAACGGGCATTATGCATCAGCTCAAGAATAAATTTTGGCTTTTCCATCATTTCCAATATAAACTTTATTCCATTGATGTACTGCAATGCGTCAATCCTACGAGGGTCCAAAAATATGTTATGAATCCTAATTGAATAAACCAGATGAAGGTAATGGAAGATATGTACATACTCAAATCAGCATGAGTAAGTTTACAAGAAGGGCATCTAGAAACGGAAATCTGTCTCAACTTCTACGGCTGTGGAACAGGTTCTGTATCATCTTAACTGAACTTGATCAAGGTTGCTTCTGTTACTTGAGAGAAAAACAGGCAACATGGCACCAACGTGCACCGGGATCCAAATTGCTGAGAGCTTATTTTGCAGAGTTTGGAGTCACAAATCTCCATTTAAAATGCAGTCAAGACAAAATTAGATACAGAACAACTTAGCATCAGCAGGACATAAATAATCATTAACATATACATGCACCTTTTTTTCACTGTATGTAGAGACAATTTATCCGTTTAAGAATTTAGTTAATGAAAACAAATGATTAGCAACTGGATGATCACAACATTAATTGGTGATTAATTTGTTAGTTTCATAAATCCTACTCAACTGTGACAGTGCAGTAAAAAAACAAATTAATCCTGGCTGCTAAAATGCTGAATTGCTTCAAACAACATAACCAATGTAATTTGAGGCTACACTCAGATCTTTTATTTATTTTTTTTTTTGAAAGTGCTTCACCGACTTGAACATATAATCAAAAGCCAATCTTAGGCACAGGAAGACAACTGCTTCACCTCTGTTGTCGTCGCCTTTTGAAATTGACAACTAATCGACAACTTGTGAACTCAGAAATGATATGAAATAAAAGTTTCTCAAATCCAATCCATTGCTTCAATGAATAGTCTTATTAGCCTACCTACCAAATTTGTGTTTGTAACATGAGAGATGTTTCAAATTATTCATGAAGAAGGCTACCTCAAGCGCCACCAGTCCAACATGTTATTTCAATGCCATGATAGAAATTTTGAAATATTAAACCACATGATAGTGTTTGATTCCTGATTTCTCTAATAATTCCATATGCATGCTCTGTCATGAATCCCATAAGCAAAATGATGACAAGAAAGAATGAAAGATTATCAGTGCTCATTGCCCAGGTAACTAGTCCTTATCAAATTCTCAAAAATTTTGCCATCATATGATTACAAGGATCATTGGTTAATATAATCCAACAATTCCGTATGAAACTCAAAATCTAAAACCAAACCCGGTGAGACCCAGCAACCGCTAGTCTTCATGCAGACATCAAAGGAGTTGATCAAAGTCTCTTCCACCCATTGCAGCATGCAGCCTCGATTGATGTTTCTTGCACAGTCCAAGACAAATACAGATCAAAGAAAAAAAAATGTAGCACCACAACAGATTCCAAACCACCATTAAGAAAAAAGGGTAATTGCATAAAATCCTGAACTTCTGTGCAATTAAAATATCTTCCGCTAAGACTCAAACCTGGGAAAGCTTCGACTCCAAAGAACAAGAAGAAGGAGAATAATTTTTTGAATCTGTTACCCCTTGACAGTACTAAACCCTTCAGATTTGATAGATCATGAAAAAAATCTGCAGTTTTCTGATCAGATTTTATTCCAATTTTGAATTAAATCTTGGAAACATTGAATAATGGAACCATTTGGGGGAAAAAAAAAAGAAAAGCTGCTCTAACCAGCATATACTCATGGCAAAATATAACCTGATTGGCATTTGGCAAGCATTCTGTCACTGAGTCTCAAAAGCCACAGAGATATTGGAACGACCAATTACTGGAATACCTTTAATATAACTCTGATATAGTGAAGCCTTCATTGAATAATTTTCATAGAATTAGACCGTCAGGTTTCAAGTTCCAAGCCTACGAGAAAATCATTGTAATATTTAGGAAGACCACACGTAAATTCAGCAAACTCCAGCTGTCGTGTTAGCTGAATTATGCAATCATAAATCTGTTCAGATTCAGGGTGAGACGTATCTCTAACAATAAACTCATAAGCAGTGCCATCGACCTCAATTGAGCTGCAACCAGGGGTCTTCTCTACTCCTCTCTCTCTCATCATCTTCCTAACCTTCCCTGCTTCCTCCCACATATTTGCATCCCCATACATATTGGCAAGCAGTACATAAATGCCACTATCATGAGGGTCCAGTTCTAGGAGTTTTAAAGCAGCTCTTTCTCCCTTTAAAAAATTCCCATGCATTCGACACGCAAAGAACAATGCTCCCCACACCACAGCATCAGGCTCAATCGCCATGCTCTTTACAAGCTCTTCAGCTTCATCTAGAAGCCCAGCCCTACCAAGAAGGTCCACCATGCATGAATAGTGCTTAAGCTGAGGCGACAGACCAAACTTAGATGTCATCTGGGTAAAATATTTACGACCCTCTTCCACCAAACCACCATGACAACAAGCTGACAAAACCCCAAGAAACGTAACCTCATCTGGCCTCAACCCAACTTCAATCATCTCTGAGAAATAAGATAGTGCATCACGTCCATTTCCATGAAGAGCCAAACCTCCAATAATTGATGTCCAAGTCAAAGAATTTCTAGATGGCATCTCATGGAAAACCCGAAGAGCCTTTGTGATATTCCCACACTTAGCATACATGTCAACTAGAGCAGTCCCCAATGCAACATTCAAGTAAAGTTTGTGTTTTTCAATATAATGATGAATCCAAATTCCAACGTCAAGGGCTCCAAGTTGTGAGCATGCAGATAAACAATAAACCATGGTCACCTCATCAGGCTTTATACCACCAGCCTGCATTTCATGAAACAAAGCCAAAGCCTCTTTACTAGACTTGGCTTGAACATAACCTCCAATTATGGCATTCCATGGTACAACGTCCTTCTCAGGCATCTCATCAAAAAGCTTCCGAGCAGCATCCAAAAGCCCTAATCTAGCATACCCAACAACCATTGTAGTACAAGAGACAATTGTTTTTTTCTCCATGTTATCAAATATCCTTTGTGCTCTGTCAAGACTCCCACACTTAACATACATGTCCATGAGTGCATTTGATAATGGAATTGTCAAATTCAATCCATGATCTTCAATATATTTATGAAAATCTCTTCCAAGTTTCAAATCTTCCAACTGTGCACATGAAGAAACTATCCCGATCATCGTCACCTCATCTGGCATAACTCCCTCCTCCTGCATTTTCCCATAAACTCCTATTGCTTCCTTGGCTCTCCCACTCCTAACATAGCCATTAATCAAAGAATTCCAAGAAACCAAATCTCTCACACAACTTTCATCAAACACCTTAGATGCCAACTCCAATTCCCCAGTGGAAACCAAAAAGTGAATCACGCCATTGTGAACATATATATCTGCATCAAAACGCAATTTTAAAACATGACCAAGAATTTCAAAACCCAACAATTTCAACATTAAAAAGGCGCAAACTTTAAGCAAAGAAGGGTAAGTATAATTATCCGGTCTAATACAACCATTATTTCTAAGCATTTGCTTATAAACAAAGATGGCTTCTTTGGGGTTTTCACTCTCTGCACAGCCTCTAATAGTAACATTCCACGAAAAAACATTTGGGTTCTGCAAATTGTACAAAATTTTAATGCAATGATCAAGATTTTTGTGTTCTGATAAGGCACAAAAGCCAATAAGGCGGCTGGAAAAGAAACAATCTGACATTAAGGCTTTGATGGTCATTTGGGCTTGGATTTGTTTCAGTTGGGGTAAGGAATTGCATTTTGGTAGGATTGAGAGAAATGGGTTATCCAGAAAAAAAGAGTGGTTTTTGTTACGGTTGATAGGGGTTTTTTTTCCCTTGAGAGGAGGAAGAGAACGTTTGTGAAGATAGGAATAAGAAGAAAGAAGAGAAGGGTTCAAAGGAGGTTTAGAAATAAAATGTAGAGATCTGAGATTTGATGATAACATAGAGACGAAGGGTCATAAAAAACTTTCGTATAGCTGTATAGAGGTTTTGCTGGTTGCTCTAATGAGTTGAATAAAAGGCGGGAAAGATCTTTCATAAGTACAATTTAAAAGACAACGACGATTTGGGAGCCCATCGAACTAAACAATTGTAGCTCTCCTTTCCATGGATGAAATGATGAACAGCAGCCAATTACGATAGAGTCTCAAGGTGTGATTGCTGCTTAGCGCCCAAGATTTCAGAGAACAGCTTTAATGGATATCATGGTTTGTTTTAGTTAAACAGATATATCCACTGTTTTAAGTTCAATAATATTATCTCAGCCCCGGACACAAGTTAGATATAGAACCGAAATTGAACCTCAAATCTGTTTGTCGTCACCTCTGAATGAATCAACGGAAGTAAAAAGAGAAATCTTATAAAAGGATATAATTTCAAAAAAGTAGTGATGTGAGGTTGCAATAACTCAAATAATCAGGATAAATTGGGTAAAAATTTCCTCCAAAAGCATCAATGTTCTAGGAGACAAACCCCTCTAAACTAAGTTATTCAAATGAGAAAAAGAATTGCGCTCAGCAATAACTGAAATCCAATTAAATTGCAAATGCATTTCATCACCATCTGTATTTATGTAGAATCTTTGCATGATTATGCCCCACCAGAGCCATACTTCTTCCCGAATACAATCATCTGGAGCTTATCATAGCCTGCAAGCACACCAGCACCAGCAATTGCACAGAGGATGTTTGCACCAGCACCCTTAAACAGAGACTTGGCACCCTCATTCTTAAGGATCTGAGAGAATGCATCAAGCGAGCTCTTGTACTTTACAGCTTCACCGGATGTCATCATCATTCTTCTACGGACAGTATCAATTGGGTAGCAGGCAAGACCAGCACCGTTCGTAATGACCCAACCAAGAGCAAAGCTAGCAAAGAAGCTATCCTGATATTATCCAAATAAAAACGCATGTGAGAAAAATCCTTTAGCTCCATCCTGTTGTCAACATTCAGAAAGCACTACGGCAGGGATCTTATTGTCATTAGATAGTATGAATATTAGTTGATGGAAAAAGCCAAATATGAATTGGAAATTCTAGCCCAAAAGGCCACCAAAAATTCTACTAACCTGCAACTTTCCAACGAGGACCACTGGCTTCAAAGAATCATACATTCCAAAGTAAAGACCACGGTACACAATGATGCCAACACATGAAATGTTGAAGCCACGGTAAAGCCCAGCAATACCATCTGACTTGAGAGTCTTCCTATATACATCAACCAAGCCATTGAATTGCCTCTCTCCTCCTTTCTTTGCAGCTTTGGCATTATTAGCAAGACGAGTTCGGGCAAAATCCAGGGAATAGACAAAGAGATGGGAAGAGGCACCAGCTGCACCACCAGATGCCAAGTTGCCAGCAAACCACTTCCAGTAGCCATCACGGTCCTTCTTAAAGTTGAACCGTTTTTTAAAGTAATCCTTCAAGGCAAAGTTCAAGGCCTGAAGCAACAAAATTCAGAGAACATAAATGAGTAGACAGCTCCAAATTAGAATGAAGACAGGACTATTTCTATGAAGATACTATTAACCTGACTGAGAAAATAACGGATCACATTAACTGTGTTTCCCCTCCACAATGACAACATGCCCTCTTCTTGGATTGTTCTTTTAAAGCAATCACCAATTCCCTTGTAAGGTTCAGAGAGCCGACCAGCCCTAATCATCTCATCCTGGTTTTGAATTAAGAGCTTCACACGTTCAATTGGAGCGGCAGCAGTTTTGGAAACAGCAGCAGAAACTCCACCCATAAGAAAATCAATAGCGAAAGCAGCAACTCCTTTTTCTGATGGAGCCTGGACACATACAAGTGGTGAACTTGAACCAACCAATGACATGTCATAGTTTGCTTGGCATGCTTGTGTCATGGGATACTGTAGTGCTGCATTGCAACTTGCAGATGAAAAACGCCTCTGATGCAGAACTGGCCTTTTGAATCCTCCATAGCGATATTGAACATCTTGTGAAAGGCTGAAACCAAGATGGAGTTGTCCAGCTACCTTTTGCATGACAGAAGGATGTTGATGCCTATCAGCCATCACTTCTCCACAAAAAAGTAAACTACAAGAAACCAAATATTATGATTATAATGAGCTGGAGAAAAAAACATGACCATGATGCCGCAAATTGTGAAACCACACCAAATCGAGAAGATATGTAAAATTAGAACAACAACAACAAATCTGTTAAAAATCATTTGGGCATAAAGGAATTGGCAAGTATATAAAAAAGAAACAAAACTTAAAAAAAAAAAATTAAAGAAAAAGGGAAGACAACAATATGTGGCCCAATACAATTATAACCACAAAGGTTCCAGATGTACACAAAGTCTATTGGAATAAAAACTAGTTCAAGCAAATGAACATTTGACCCCAGCTCAGAAAGTAGTGGCTTTTCTTGCCATTAAGCTTTCATTCTGCATTGTTGCACTATCTGCAAGCCAAAACTTTCCTACTTATTATTACTAACTAATTTTACATAACACCATCCACCTTGAAACATAAGGGCATAAATGAAAACATGAATGTTTTAGCCCAAAAATTACAATAACAAGAATGAAAATTGCTCCAATATGAGTAAACAACATTATGAAAGATGATGTAAAGGACAGAAAGAAGTTAGCAGTTTTCTTAGGAAAAGAAAAAAAAAAAGAAAGAAAGAGATAAAAAAAGCCAACCTTGAAAACTGAAATTTGGGAAGAGAAAGACGAGAGAAATGAGGTAGGCAAAATAAAATGGAGTTTGGGTTTGTACAGAGTCTCTATGAGACAGAGCCGTTGGTTATGAATATGATTCCCAGAGGCCAGGCTTTGAACCTCCTTATACGTACATAAAAAAAAAAAAGAGTCATATAATAATAATAATAATACAAAAGAACCTCGTTCCATTTTGATAGAAAAGGAAAGTTCAAACATTAAAATGAGTATCTTCGAATATCTACATTGGTGGTCATAGGTTAGGAAAAGACATAATTTTTTTTTATAAAATTCATGAAATTTTTTGTTAAAAATAATTTAATAAAAATTAAAATTGATGAATTGATAAAATTTAATAAATATTAATAATATATAAAAAAAATTGTTAAGAATATGAATTATTATTCAAATTTAATAAATATTTATTTAATAGTAAAAATTTTATTATAATTTTTATTTAAAAATGATATCAATTTTTTTAAAATTTATGCTTGATTTATATATCAAAAATTTTTAATCTATCAATTTTAATTATTATTTTAACTTCTATTAAATTATTTTTAATAAAAAAAATTCATAACTTTCACTTTAAAAAATTTACTTTATTCTTTCCCCATCGAATGGGTTTGAAATGCGAATGTTATAACTTTCAAAACACCTCTTTTTGGCCTATAATTATCCAATTGACATTTTATCATTCTTTTATTTTAGAGAGTTCAATTTGATAACTATAATTTATGGTTTAAAACTAGTGTTGTCAACGTTTCTACTTAAAAAATTTGTCAAAGATTGGTGCCTTTTTTTTTTTTTTTTATGCTTCTGGAAACATTGGTTAATATTTTAAGATGTTATTATTTTTAAAAAATATTTTTTCATTTAATAAGCTATGAGATAATAATGTCCTAATCGCAAAATTTTTTATAAATGTCATCTTAAAGAAACAAAAAGTATATTAAAGTACCTATCTATGAATCAAGCAACTTGTTAAATCATTGTCTAATTCGAGTTGAATAGAGTTTTCGGTAAAATTTTTTTAAATTCAAGCATTCCCCAAAATGTTATTTTATGAACAAAAATATTTATTATTTGATTTTAATTTTTGAAATATTAAAATATTTTAAATTTAAACATATTTAAATAGTTAGATTCAGACTAAATTCAAACTTGATATTTAAAATTTATCAATTGAACTTGATATAATTCTGTTAAATCCACGAATAGCTCTAAAAAGCATATGGTACCATTTTTGTTTATTTAGATTAGTATCTAAGTTGAGAAGCCTCCATCCAATGAGGAAGTGTTTGGATGATTAATTGCATATTCTCGGATTAATGACAAACAAGTAAATGAATGACAAACACGGAAAATGTTATTATGTAACATCTACACATGCCTTTTTTATTTTTTTACAGACACGTTAATCTTTCTAAAATCATTACAAGTTTATCCAACGTTTTTCTTATTGGTCCTTCATTTTTTCTAATTTTTTTTTGCCACATTTTTTTCTAATGTTTATTTCAACAATTTTTTTTTTATAATTGGAAACGAGAATAGAGAAGTGTTCAATAAAGTTAATCTCTATGCTTGTCACAACGTCATATGTTTGACTTTTACGTTGTTACAAGGGAAGATAGATATTTGGGTTTCTCACTCCTCATATAAACTTGCCCCATAGTTGTTAACATATCAGGACTTCCTCGTCCATTGAAGATGGTTCGTCTCATTACATCTATTAACGTTTTATTAGTATGTCATCTCATCATAATTCATTTGTCTAAAATTATTAAATACAGTTTACATAAAAAAAATTTTTAAGTTTTACATAAATTTTTCATCAGTTATCACTTATTCATATTATGTCATTGTCTCACGTTTTATATAAAGTAAAAAGAGGTTCAATTACATGACTTTGAACCTTTCATCTTTAAGTTTCCTTAATAATCTCTGCAACTCATCTTTTTCCTTTTTAACCCTAATATCATATATTTTATTAACTTGAGTGATAGAATGTGTTTCGAAAATCAAATTTGGTACCCTTCATTGTATTTTCTTTACTATAAATTCGAAACACTTCTGACTTACCCACTAACTCATCATCCAGTTCATCTCTACCCTAAACATCGTCAACAAAAACTTAGTAGATTTGCTCCTTAATTTCATGAGAAAACCCTGAAGCAAACGGCATGAAAGCCGTTAAGAGTTTGAATTCAATTATGCATGATTCTTCTTTAATTAGTGTCTTTTAGCTAATAAGTAGGGATTATTAATACATGATTCATGGAAGATGTGACTTTTTTTTCTTTGCAATTGATAACATATAGTAATTGTTCTTAACAAATACTATATAGCTTGCATCATAGTTTGCCAACTCAAAAGAAGATTGGTGACAAATGACAATCATTCACGTGGTAGCCTAATTACAAGAAACTGCATACCAACCATGTATAATACCCAAGCATAAGAAAAAAGAACAAAAACAGTTTTTTATTATATTTGATCTTTCATCATGTCTGGTTTTATTGTCCTTAGTCTTTTGTATATTAGAAATGGTTTCAATGTCATTAGTCTTTTGTTTATGAGAAATAATTAAGAGATGTTGCTTAT